TCTGGCGTATAACCAACACGGAATAAATCGATCACAGAACATCGATTGCGTGCCTCCGGCCCAGCCGGTAAGTGAAGACTAGGCCTTGGAGTCATTGTGGATAGTTCTTTGAAAACATCCACTCAATGTGCAGCAGCAATCGTAAAAGGTAACAGAATATTAGGAACCATTAGAAAAGGGGAAAATAATAAAACAGAAAATATTGTAATGACAATGTACAAATCACTGATATGCCCTCACCTAGAATACTGCGTTTCAAAATAGATATATTAGAATGGAAGAGGTGCAGAGAAGGGCAAATGATTAAGGGTATTGAACAGCTTCCATATGAGGAGAGATTAAGAAGACTGGAACTGTTCATCTTAGAAAAGAGACTACTAAGGTGGGGATATGATAGAGATCCCTAAACTCATGAATGGTGTGGAAAAAGTGAGTATTGTTTAGCCCTTCACATAATGGAAGAACTAGGGTTCACCTGATGAAACTGAGAGGCGGCAAGTTTAAAATGAAAATAAGGAAGTACTTCATGCAATGCACAGTCAACCTGTGGAACTCACACTGGGGATGTTGTGAAGGCCAAAAGTATAACTGGGTTCAAAAAAGAATTAGCTAAGTTCATGGAGAATAGGTCCATTAATGGCTCTTAGCCAAGATGGTCAGGGATGCAATGCTATGTTCCACATGTTCCTAAACCTCCATCTGCTAAAAACATCTGGCACTGGCCACTGTCAGAGACAGGATACCGGGCTAGATGGACCACTGGTCTGACCCAGTATGGTCTTTGTTATGTTCTTATGATAAGAGACTCCCACAAACCAGTCTTCCATTGTCCCTCTGCTGTACCGATATAGCTGCGCTGCTGCAGCACGTCTAGTGAAGACGCTCTATGGCAAAGGGAGAGAGCTCTCCCATCGGCACAATAAAACCACCTCTGCAAGCGGCAGAAGCTATGTCAGCGGAAGAAGCTCTCCCACTGATATTATGCTGTGCACACTAGCACATATGTTGGTGTAACTTATGTCGCTCAGAAGAGTGTTTTTTTTCACACCCCTGAGCAACATAAGTTATGCCAACATAGACTGTAATGTAGACAAAGCCTAAACAAATCTGCACTTGGCAGGGCCTTTCTGCTACATGCCAAGCATTCTAAGAGACAGAGAGAGTACTACAAAGGTAAAGGGCATGGAGTGCAAGCTCAGCAGGTGGCAGCAGCAGATATAGCAGTATCTTGGATCAAGACAGTGTAATAACTGCATTAGACAGGAGGGGATTGGGTTGGGGGGGGGGGGAAGGCAGAAGAATAATCAGTGAGCAACTCTCTCTTAGGGTCTGATCCTGCACCACTGAAGCCAATTTGAGTTTGGCCTTTGACTTGAATGAGTGCAGGATCAGGCCCTTGCAGTTAGGGATGGTTAGAACAGCAGGGTAGGTGGAAGGAAGCATAGTTTCGGGGAAGGAGTGGGCTCTTCCTGGAATCAATAGCTGGCCCTTGGTTGGTGGGAAGAGTGATTCAATTAGTTTTACATTGCTTATCTGAATCAATGTGAATTTTTTAACAGATCAGCATTTGTTTTAGACAGTGGAGCACAGGATTCAGACTGACATTTTTCCAAACTGGATCATACATCCTCACTGCTGATTCTGATCTCACACTACTTTTACACTGGTGTAACTCCTGTGACTTCACTAGAGTTGCTCCTGATTTATACCAGTGTGAACTAGTCCTGGGATTGTATTCTCATCTTGGTATACTCTTGTACATATTAACCCATTTTTATCTAAATCCAATGTTATGGATCCTGTTCTGAAGTGCACTATCCTGAGTTCCTGGTTGTATATAAAACATCAATCAAACATAAACTTGCAGGATATATATGAGACTAATTGAATTGTGACAGCAACATGGACTTTAACATCTATCTTTATCATTGAAATTATTTCCTTCAAATTTATCTATGAATTTAATTTAACTAAAATGTATTCAATTTAAAGGTGTAACTCCAGGAATGAATTTGGTTCAGAGAATTTAATATACATCAGGTTCATATTGTTGCTGACTCCTCTTGTACCTCAAGAACATTTTAATCTCTAAAAGCATATTTGGTTTTTGCTCTGCTATTATCTTTCATTATTTTTTTCTATCTTTTCCTGTTCTTATTGAATGAAATCCTGGCCCCAATTAAGTCAATGGGTGTTATGCCATAGACCTCAATGGGGCCAGGATTTTAGCCATTGTGTTTGAAGAGTTCACAGCATTTTCAGGTAAGTAATCCTTTATAAAATCATATAGATAATTTTAGGCAGTGGTTTCCAATCTTTTTTCATTTGAAGACTTCTACAGTTTTCAAATGGAGGTGCAGACCTGTTTGGAAACCTTAGACAGTCTTTTGACCCCCAGGACATGCAGACCATAGATTGAAAACCACCGATTTAAGGAAACATTGAAATATGACAATTCATTATTCACAGGTGCGCTCTACAAAATTTACATCATCACAAAACTGGAAAAATACAGAAATAATCATCATTTAAAGCTTTCCTAAGGGATGTATTCACTTTACTTTTATCACATACCTCTGTCTCCGATAGTTTCTTTCCATAGAAAAAAAGAGAAAGAAATAAGAATGAATTACCAATGTGTATATATTAGGGAGAATGTGGCTGTATTCAACAGCATAAACAACAAGTAAATATAAAAACAATGTAGGCCAAAGTGAAATTTTGATTCTTGATGACTCCTAAATAAATCACTTTTGGAAAAGAGAACAGATGTATTAGTTCAAAACAAACCTGTAGGATTATATCCATATTGGACTGTTAGTGTCTCTAGGATATACACTGCAATGTTTTTTCAGTATCAGAAACATGCTTATTAAGTCTGGGAACATTTGGAAACCTTAGTTCTGTTTTTCAATACATATTTCTGTATTACCAGGAAAATTCACTAAATTACTGCCTAATCATATCGCAAAACATGCATTAAATTTTGAAGCTGTATTTCAAAGAGGGGTTCAGATCTTCACGTACTGCCAAAATCACTGGGTGGTATGCAAAGGTGGTTTAAAGCTATCCTTTTATTAACCTAATCCTCTTAGTATTCTGTGCACGCCTTTCTTCTTGCACTGTACAAGAGCAGCTCTCAACTCCTCTAATTTTCACCAACTTTGAATGGCACAGGGATCCGAAATTATAAAAACAGCTGGAGCATGTTCATTGTAGCCAGGTCCTCATCCAAGAAAGTGCATAACCTTCTGGCATGTTCTTGCATTTAGATATAGGGCATTCCAAATACTTAAGTCATGCATTTAATCATATTGGCATCATAAGAACATAAGAATGGCCCTACTGGGTCAGACCAAAGGTCCATCTAGCCCAGTATCCTGTCTTCTGACACTGACCAATGCCAGGTGCTTCAGAGGGAACGAACAGAAGAGGTAATCATCAAGTGATCCATTCCCTGTCGCTCATTCCCAGCTTTTGGCAAACAGTGGGACTACAC